GTGTTATGACTCGGAAAATAATTTTTTCTACTTGTCTGGTATAAATTATTTTCACTGTTAAAGAACTTTTTCCTTGTCTGTAATCAAGCATTTCAGCTTAATCAGTAACATGCCATTGTTATGCACTGACAGAAATGCTCCCTTGAAGGCACCTTGGCAGAAATTGAAGGAAACTACGGTTGTCAGCTTTCACAAATACAGCTTCAGATTAGCAATCTGGAGGAACAATTAAAGCAGATCAGATCTGAAATGGAATGCCAGAATGCAGAATATGAACAGCTCCTGGGCATCAAGACACGTCTAGAGATGGAGATTGAGACCTATAGGCGACTGCTAAATGGAGAAGGAGGGTAAGCAAACAGCCTGAAGAAAAAACTTATTTCAGTTAGATGAATTTATTTTGAAAAACAGAACACTAGACATAAGAAATAAACATCAATATAGTTTATTCCATGTTCTGTGCGTAGAGGGATAAATCCTGTAAGGTGCAGATCATTCCAGTTAAGTGCTTAACTACCTGAAATTCCACTGACTTCAGTGGAAGCTGAGGGCCTTCATAACCTTGCATGAGAGCTGAACACCATGCAGGACTGAGCCCACATTTCAAATAGGACCTATAGAAAGCATCTTCTTTTTCAAGAGGAGGATTTTTTCTTCTCTATTACACTATAAATCTGACCCTGCAATGTGATGAGTCAGTGTGCTCTTAAATCCACTGACTTCAATATGATTTGAAGTCATTGAGAGATTAAAAGTTTTGGACTCTGTATGTATTTTGTCTAAATAATATTTACTAAGAAGGATATTTCTTTCTTAGTAGCACATTTCATTAAATGTTCTTCAGAAATAAAAATATTTGTGAGGCTCTGTTGTGGGATGCAAGGACCTAATTCAACACACTTTGAAGTCAGTCAGAGCCTTGCAATGCTCACTGAAATAGACCTAAGTGTACTGAAAATAAATTGCTGTATCAGTTCTCTGTTCTGTCTCAGCAGCTGCAAATATTATAGAACTGTACATTATGTGCAGCTGCAAATACCTGAAAATGACTCCAGTTAACAGAATATCCACCACAGAAAAATTTTCATTTTATCAATCAAGGATAAAAGAGCAGTTTGATCTTACATCTGTATTTGATAAACGATTTTATTTAATTTTTATCCTGTAAAGCATTTTGGTGGAATCAATTATTCACCTTTTTGTTTGGCATCAAAAAAATGCATTCAGATGTATATGGTACATAGCAGTTCCAATCACTTACAAAACTGATTGCCTGCCTTGCTGTTTCTGGAAAGATAGCAATAAACTTGCTTTTAAAACCAGTATTCTCATCGACTCTCAAAATAATTATCTTTTCTTAAAAAGAACAGGAGTACTTGTGGCACCTTAGAGACTAACAAATTTATTAGAGCATAAGCTTTCGTGGACTACAGCCCACTTCTTCGGATGCATCCGAAGAAGTGGGCTGTAG